TACATAAAGTATGCCTAGTAGTAGTCATAATAACAATAGTAGTACGAGAAAGAAGGATGGCAATACAATAGCAACAATAAGAGACCAATTCTTTAGCCTCCCATGTCGTTCCCTGCCATGAGGAAAGCCTATGCCAAGCTTCACGGCAGCTACGATTCCATCGAGGGCGGCTTCGTGAATGATGCTTTGGTAGACATGACAGGAGCCGTCAGTCTAATAGACCTATGCCCGCCTCCTTTCTGCAAGATCTCCATTCTGCAGCAGCGTCTTCGAACGGTGCTTTTCTCATGTCTGCTTCACTCTCCTTGTACTGCCAGGAGGCATCGGAGAAAAGATGCACCTGCACGACAAGGCTGCCAGGAAAGATGCTAGGCTTGATTGAAGTTGCCAGCTGTACTGACCGAGTTTGCTGGTGTCGCGGCAGCTCGTGTTCGCATCTTCTGGCATCCCTGAACAGTAGCATCATGGTGAGAACGTCCATACGCTGTAGGTATCATCGTCCGTGAGATTTGCTTGTCACATCACTTTTGGTTGGGGGAGTGCCTTCACGAGCTTGCTCAGAAGCCTTCGCGTCTAGATGCCAAAGCTGAGGAGATCAACGATGGCACGATGTGGGCGAAGCTCTTGAGCCTTGCCCGTGACGGCCATTTGCTAGGCATGGCCGGCACCATTTGCCATGGCACTTTAGTAGCGAGCTACTTGTGGAAGTGATGTTATCAGTAATAGTGCCTGGAATACGAGTAATAATAGTAAACGTAATAAGAGTAACAATAGTCATATAGCCTCCGGTGCCAGGCTGCGCATGCACTTTGTTGCCCGTGGGCCAAGCATACCAGTAGGAATAAAACTTCGAACTGATAGTAATGACAGTAATACTAGCAGTAATAATGATAGCAGTTTACATCGCAGTAGGAACAATAGTAGGAAGCAATTGCATCAGCGGACATGCTGCCCCCCCATGTCATAGCAGAGATGCCACTTTGCATCTTATCCGCAGGCTGCGGATCGGGGTCCGGGAAAGACACTGACATCAGCCCGGTGCTAAGTCTGCTTGCAAGTGCTGCGCTTGTTTCTGGAGACATGCACATCTCTTGGTTGAAGTTCGCGCAGAGAGGCTTTTGCAACACATGAACTTTGTATGAGGTGACATGGGCATTGTGAGCCTTGCCAGGCAAGCATTCAATTTTTAGCGACCGTGGAGAAGACAATTTTTTATTGGGCAATTCTGCGCGGAATCCAATTGTTCTACCTTCTGACTCCTAGGGCTGGATATCCAGTGACTTTTCCAATGTAGAACAACATCCTATTCTCCGCATGCGTTGTTGTGCAGAGCGATTTTGGGTAACCCCGAGCCCTAATCCCTAAACCCTGATCTGTCTTGCAACAAAGGAAAGGGCACGCCTATTCGCTCCTACGTGTGGAAGAGGCTGCGATGGGGCTCAACAAGTTGAGGTAGCAACGAGTCGGCATGCCTCAACGTATCGAAGTAGATTTGTTTCGCGCTTGTACGATGCTCCAGCTAGCCTGGGGGTTTACCAGAAACATCGATGTCCACCTTGTAATTGAAAAGTCCTGCTTCAGCCAATGTGAGTACACAAAACCACCGAACGAGCATGGCCCTGCAATATCTGATTTCCAATCTCGGACTTTTGGTGGTAATCTTCCCAATTTTCGGAAACCTACACCCAACCAGAAAGACCAATTAATCCCGATATAAGCCTTTGCTAACCCCTACATAAACCCCTGCACAGACCCCAAGTGTAACCTCTATATCCTCTCATTAGGGAGCTCCTTATCCATAGCGAAACCCTGAATTTAAAACCCCTGAACCCTGAATCCTAAGCCCCTGAACCCTGAATCCAAAAACCCCTAGGCCCTAAACCCTGACTCCTAAACCCTAACCCCTAAATCTCTAAACCCCCTAAACCCCTAAATCCCTAAACCCTGAATCCTAAACCCCAAAACCCCTAAAACCTGAATCCTAAACCTCAGAACCCCTAAATCCCAAACCCCTAAACCTCCGTTCAATTCCTGCAGGTCGAGGGGCAGCAGCTCGTGAAGCTCCGGAATCCCTGGGGCTTCTCGATTAAGCCGGTGAGGGTTCAGGGTTACTTAAGGTTTAAGGTTTCGGGTCAAGGTTTTATGGTTTAGGGTTAGGGTTTAGGGTCACTTAAGGTGTAAGGTTTAGGGTTGAGGTTTAGGGTTTAGGATTACTTAAGGTTTAAGGTTTAGGGTTGAAGCTTTAGGGTTTAGGGTTACTTAAGGTTTAAAGTTTAGGGTTTAAGGTTTAGGGTTTAGGATTACTTAAGGTTTAAGGTTTAGGGTTGAAGGTTTAGGGTTTAAGGTTTAGGGTTTAGGGTTACTTAAGGTTTAAGGTTTAGGGTTAAGCTTTAGGGTTCAGGGTTTAGTGATGAGGGCTTGGGGTTTGGAGCCCTCAGGGGGCCCCCGCAGTGGGGACCCATAACCATAACTAAGGGCTCCCTAAGACTCTGCCTAAGGCTTCCCTGAAGCTGTGAGGGTTTTATTCTGTAGCTGGCTGATATGAGTGGTTGTCAAAATTATGGTCCCTTTTTGGGTACCCTATTTCAATATGGCACCAAATATTTAGGGTACCCAAAAAGGGACCATAATTTTGACAACCACCCATACTGGGATGTCGCCTTCAAACTGCTGCTTTGGCTGGATCTTAAGGTTCAACCGAGTGGAAAGGAAAGTGGAGTGACCTGGGCTCAGTCGAAAGACTGAACTGGTAGCCGTGAAGTATGTCGTCTGTGCCTGTGAGATGCTGCTTTAGGGTTTAGGGTTTAGGGTTTGGGGTTTGGGGTTTAGGCCGATATGGTAGCTGAGGACGGCGACAAAGATAGCTGGACACAGAAGATGAAGAAAAAGCTGGTACCCCACCTGCATCGAAGCGCTTCCAGTTCTGCAGCACTTCTTAAACAACATGCCTTGAGGATTACGTGAATGCGGATGATGGTTCCTTCTGGATGGCCTTCGAAGACTTTGTGAATCACTATCGATGCGTGCCATCCAGCTGCATGAAAGAGCATGTTAGCTATAATCTATACTCATAGTGTCTCCTTCAATAAGCCCTATAATACTCTCGTATATGATCCCCCAAGTTTGGACTATAGAACATGTGGGTCCTAATTCTTAAAGTCCTGCTGTGTCTCTCAAGCCCAGGTACATTTGTCGACTTTTCGATGACGGATGGAACCGCTGCTTCATTTGTTCGGAGTGGCGAGGTGAAACAGCAGGCCTGGATATATTGGGGTATATTAAGGTTACATAAGGGTTATATGGGGATAATGGAAGAGAAAATGGAAACTATAGGGTATATATTGGGGTATATTAGGGTTATATAGGGGCTATATGGATCATTTTTACTCGGCTGCAGCTCTTCTTCCCTATTTGGGGGTCCCGAGAATAAGGATTATCGTATTGTAGGGACGATATTGGGGTCCCCCTACTTATGGAAACTACCATGTTTGGTCACGGTCTTCACCTCCTGTGAGACATGATTGTCCAGGTGGTTGCAGAAACTATCCTACTTACGAGTCTTGGCTCTTCCAGTCAGGGAGCCTGGGGACCTGCAGTATCCATGTTGCTACCCGTACCTATCCCTACGTAGCCCTGTGTGCCCCTGTGTAGTTGCTAATCCTCGCTCCCTAATATTAAGCCCGCTCATCCCCCACAATATTAAAAATTTCCCCATTGAGGTATATTATGGTATACTGGGAGTATTTACTGCTACTGGGGGTTGGGGGGTTTAATATTAGGGGGAGGTGATTACATCCCTTTTAAAGGCGCCCGACTTGAGCAGCTCAGGACAAGAATCCCAAGATTCAGCTTGTCATAAAGGGGCGAGCGTGGGCCTCAATTGTAGGGCTCACTTTATAGGGGTGTATAGGATTAAGGGTTTAGGGTTTAGGGAATAGGGTTTAGAGTTGAAGGATTAGGCTTCAGGGTTTTGGGATATGCATGGGGGTTTCTCATAATTAGGTGTACCATTTTGGGGGTCCCACAGCAAGGATTATAGTGTTTTGGGATCCTTTATTTGGGTCCCCCTTGTGTGGGGAAACGACCATATTGGGGTTATATAGGGGTGGCGTCATACCAGGGATATATGGCTCAAATATGTATCGGGGGTTTGGGAATTTTGCCGCCCATGCTCTTCTGCTGTAATGCCTGTCGCACTGCAGCTGCTCGTAAAAAGCCACGAGGGCCTTGATTTGTGCACAGATCTGGCTGGGGAACTGGTGTTGCTGTTTTGCTATGCTTTTGCGATGAAAAAATTCAAGATTTCTCTTGCCATTCGGATAATGAACCTGCAGGAAAACCCCCAATTTATGGCCCCTGTGTAGCCACCCTAGTTTCCATTGCATTTTCCATTTGATCCTCCCTGATTGAAGGTAACAGTATTCCTGTAGGGGCTACATCATGGGACTCGGGAAGCTGAAGATACATTGCTGGGGCGATGGAAACAGTTGGGAAATACCCGCTCCCCTCCTGACTGCCGGATCCACTGAAGAACCGACTTTTTACTGCGTGTGCCTTGGGATTGGCTTATTACGTGACGGGGACAAATGCATTCGCTCAGCTGCATGAACAAGATGAAAATTGTGTGAAGCAGTGGAAGGAAATCAGTCATGTATTCACTCGGTTGCATGAACAAAAGGGAACTTGCGTGAAGCAGTGGAAATCAGTGAAATTCAGGAGCATGTAGGAATTGTTTGGAGGCAGTGACTAGTGATGCTGCGGTAGTGGATAGCAGCTGACAACCCGTTGCTTCAGTCAGGACACTTGTTGCAGTGCCTGCACTGCTGTTCGATGCGCGTGTCGAAACCTTAAACCCATGAGCAAGACTGTGGCACACGCTGTATGAGTGCGGGCATTGCAGCAATGAACACTGTGAGTGGGGTCCTTCAAGGCTCTGCGGGGTCCAATTCTGGTTGCGCGCCTCTCTTGGGAGTGGAGGAAGACAGTGATGTTGTTGTTGTTGAGGGGGCATGCCAAAGAGAACAGGTATGTGATGGACTGAGCGGGCTACGGGTAGGAAGGCCGACTGGGCAACACAGACCCCGAGCTTATGCTAGACACGAAAAGAGTCGGCGGGGTCGTTCAAAAAAAAAAGAAAAAAAACCTAAACCCTAACGGGGCAGAGACCCGGACTTTGGCAGGCGTAAAAGTCCGTTGTTTTTTTCGAAAACCTGAACCCTAAATGCCCTAAATCCTAAACCCCAAAACGCCAAACCCTAAACCCAATTTTTTTGGACTACCTGGTGAAAAGCCTATCAGGTGAACCTCATCCTCACCCTTGAGCAGGCAGACCCCAGAGGTAAGCACGAGGGTGACAGTGAAGTGCCCATCGGCTTCAGGGCCGCTGGGCTAATTGGGGTTTTAGGGTTAAGGGGTTAAGGGTTTAGGGTTTGGGGTTTAGGGGTTAAGGGTTTAGGGTTTAGGGGTTATGGTTTAGGGTTTAGGGTGTAGGTTTAGGATTAGGGGTTTTGAGGGTTTGAGGGTTAAGGATTGGGGTTTGGGGTTTAGTGATTAGGGTGCTCTGGGATCTAGGGTTTAGTGACTAGGATTTTCTGACTAGGGTTTGGGGTTTAGGCTTTAGGCTTTAGGGTTTCCTGCCCGAAGATCCTGGTATAATTGCCGCCAAACTCCCCCTCATAGTTCAAGGTCTACAGAGACCGCTCATTGTCTGGGAACGGACTCTGTGGCACGTCAACCTACGCGTACGACCGCGAGGCTGCAGCACATTGGTCTATGACTTGTAATCCCTCCCCTAATCTTCACGCTCCCCGCCCCGCCTAGTATTAACAACTCCCACGATTCTCAAATATACCACATTATGAGAGTATTTGGGGGGGGGGGGTTATGATTACGGGGAGAGATTAGTAGGGAGCCTTGATGGGGGCTTATTCGGGGTAACATGGGGGAATCTAGGTACACAGGGTGTAGGTAAACACTGTACGTATATGGGATATTTCAGGTAATGGGATTAGGGGCCCCTTCTATTCTATGGGTGCCTTCTTATAACCCTGGAAATGCTACATCTTGCTTGACTGAAACCAGGCGCTATCCTCTGGTCCTTGATGGGTACTTGTGTGTATATATATATAGAACGCAGAAACACGCGCATACCAGTGTGTTGTAATATTACTACCTATAGCCTATAGCTGTATATGGTACAAGTGGCCGCAAGCGGCATTTGGTAGAGAACCGCAAGAACCATCATTACGATATGATTCGGTATGCTGGATAGACATGTGGCAGATGTGCGTGGATGTCGAGCTGACGGAGAACACATCCGGCCCGTATATCATCCTTCCCACAACTTTCAAGCCAAACATGGAGAGAGGCTTCATAATGAAGCTTGGCTGCAACTGCTGATGGATTTTAGAGCGTATGGCTGCATGACCCAAGCGGTCACAGTAGCACAACATGTTTAGCTGTGTTCGAAACCTTCCATACAAAGAGCGAACAGGCTGGGGCAGCCCCAAGATTCCATGCCCAAAGCTGCAAATCGAGCTGAATGGTGTAAGATTTTTGCCAAAATGTTGAGCAGCTGTGCACTCAAACCAGACTGCAGGAAAGCCTTCTGGAAAGGTGCCGCAGATGCTGTGCAGATGCAGAAGGATTAAGAACATGACGCATGTTAATGCCGGTGGCGCTGCCTTTGCAGACATGCCACTCTTGACCAGCGCATTCATTTGAGCACACAATGCATGTAGTGTTGTCCGTGACTTGCACAAGAAAAAAGTATAGCAGCTCATCGTTCTATCTTGATCAGCTCAGCTATTGCATTTCAATACACCTACATTTGCTCATCACGCTTCGCGGCTTGAAGAACAGGCCGCGCGTGTCTCGAAAAAATGTCCCTATCGTAATCACCTCCAAAGGAGGTGCACTATGCCGGAGAGCCATTTCATTCCTATTCATGCCAGGGCCTAACACGGGCTAACCAGAGCAATCCGGAAGAAAAGACTCACCAGTGCTTCGTAGGGAATAAGGGAATATATAATCCCTAAATAATATTCCGCGATTCCCTACTAACGGACCCTAAACCCCATATATTCCCTTGTTCCTTACTAAGCCCCGGTAAGAAGAGAGATGGATAATTGCTCCAAGCTGAACTTCCCAACAGCCAGTCGGGGTTCCCCAGTACTAGGGCTATAGGGGGGGATATCGAAGGTATTATAGGGATATGTAGGGTTTAGGGTTTAGAGATTCCCAAAATTAGGGGTACCTTTTTGGGCGCCTTTAATTAATGCGGAATGTCGTCTTTTTGGGGTCTATATAGGGGTTCCCCTGAAGGGAAACGATCGCATCTTGAGCCCCAGACTTTCGCATCAAGCTATGCAAAGGGAGGTCCTTCACCACGAGGGTCCTTGCTTGGACGCCCAAAGAGGACAATGGCTTTCTTGATTATTTGTAGAGATTTTTAGGGGTTTTGGGGCCATTGTTCTACCTACTGTTGGGATCCAGGTCAACCGCTGAACCCTAAACCCTGTTGTACCTACTTTTGGGCTCCAGGCAAACCCCTAGACACTAAACCCCAAACCGTACATACCCCAACCCTTATCCCTAGAAAAACCCTATTTCTCCCTGTGAGACCCGAACCCCAAGTCCCAACGCCTAGCGGTCGAAGCTTGAACAGGAATCCCTGGCCCGACGCCGGGCCGAGCTAGCTCCCAACCACTTGTGGCTGAAGGCCGGGACCCTCCAACATGGTTTAGGGTTTAGGGTTTGGGGTAGGAGTATTTTTGATAGGGATTCTGTACGGTTTCGGGTTTTAGGTCTTAGGGTTTGTGTAGGGATATTACATATATATATGGGGTATACAGGGATGCTACCCCATAATGGAGAACCAAATGGAAAAGAACAAGGAGGGCGTCATGGATTCCAGAAGTTAGGGACATTGGCGCAGTAATGGAGAATCAAATGGACGAGAACTTGGAAAACGTGAAATGGAAACTGGCTTTGTAGAAGTTGGGAGGGGTTCTCTGTAGGGCAAGTCAACGTAGTCATAACATACCTACCTAGCTTGAACAACCTCAGCCAGAAAACGCCTGTTCAGAGATTCCTGTGAGGTTGTTTGAAACTTTAGCCTGGAATTCTTCAAACACTAAAACGATAATATAGGAGAATATAGGGGACACATTACTCCAATGTTAGAGGGTTTCCTGAAGTAGCGGTTCAATGCCTCATAGTTACCAAGCGAGGTCCCTTCTTCGTTAACTAATCCCCTCCCTATAACATTACGCCCCTAATATTAAATGTCTCCCATTGTAAATATTTCCCATTGTGGTATGTTATGGAATACTGGGAGTATTTAATATTAGGGGGGGTTTGGGGGTTTAATATCCTAAACCCTAAACACGAACAATAAGCCCTTTATACCCCTTTAAGGGTGGGGGGTTTTATATTATAGGGGAACGAGATTAGATTGTAGCAGGGCCAGCCGGACATTGCTTCACATTTCCCTGAAATCAGGAGTACCTTTTTAAAGGGGTTATACAGGGGTATAGGAATTTATGGGATATATGTATATATATATATATAGAGTTTAGGGCTTGGGGTGTGCTTGTACTGAGGTGTAAAGTATTTTGGGGTCTATACTGGGGACCCCCTAATTTGAGAAACTACCAAGTCTGGGCAGGCACCTTCGAAGCCCATGCTCCAAGGCAGCTGACGATTGCAGCAGTGCTGGTTCTAGTGGTTGATAGATAGGGCTTGGGTCCTGCCCCCCACCCAGCAACAGCTGGATAATACATATATTATAGTTATGTATAGCCCTGAATATTACCCCCCATTATAGGCTGTTACTGGGTGGGGGTAGTACCAAGATATTGCGCGCGGTTTTTGCTGACAGGAGAGTACGTCAAGATGCCGGAGCGCCTCGAGCGCAGCCAGGTCGGTAAGCAAGCTGCTTTGAAGTGTCCCCAGGCTATTTTGCAACATTAGGAGTACCGTTTTGGGGTCCCCACAAACAGGCGCCTGTTTGGGGTCCCCAAAGTAAGGACTGACGTATTTTGGGGTCTATATTGGGGTTCCCCTATTTCGGGAAAAGCCAGGCGCTCTGGCAACAAGCTGCTGGACCTGGTTGGCTTTGGCCTTACAGCAGCTCCCTACTTCAGCTCCCGACTGAAAAAGGTCACGGGATTGTCTTGGCAAAATTTGTCTGCTAGGCTTTACAGCACGACTGGCGGGCGCTGGTTCGTGACAGACCGCTACTGGGTAGCAGTCAGTCAGGCTGGAGCTTTCGCAGTCGCAAACAGATGTGGCCCTTGATTTGGAGGGCCCCGTGCTTATGGCTTGCTAGAAAAATCTTAGGGTAACTCTAGCTCTCCAAAACGGTTCTCAACAAGAGGAGCAGGGCACATAAGCATCCCAAACCCTAAATCCTCCTCCAAAAGGGTCCATCCAAGGCGAGGAGGGTATTGCCTCCAACACGGGGGTTTTGGCCTCCAACGCGCCGCATCAGGGTCGGCTTCCTCAGGACAGGCCTTTGCTGGACCATCCGGGTTTTATCATGTGCTTCCCCAACTTACTGGGGTTCTTAGGGAAAAAGGGAACATACTCTATAGAGATTATATAGGGGTTATATTCCCTCATTCCCTGCTAATCCACCACTACCTTAACCACCAGAAAGCTAAAATGCCAGCGCAGGGCTACTGGTGCTACAGAAAGGTCGCAGCGTGCTTTGGCCCTAAACCCTAAACCCTGACACAGATGACCAGTGCCTCATGCAAGCCAACGGCCGCCAGCTCGGAGACATACCTACAGTTACCCTCGAGGGGCTGAAACGGGATCTCACCACCAAGCTGGAGAGGGTGCAGAGACGAAACCCGACCAAGGCAAAAGACATGCTGTTGACTATGGTCAAGGTACTGGCAAGAAATGGCCGCAGTCTCCTCCCTTCTGTACGTCAAGTTTGCAGGGGACTCCAGCAGATTGTCGATGACCACCTGTACATTGTGGAGAGAATTTATCCCAGGCAATATGAAAAAGGGCGGCGATGGATCAAGAAGTTCTGGACGAAAGCTAGGGGGAAGTGCAGAACGGCGGTTTCGCGGTGGAGGAGAAGAGCAATGGGAGATGTGGCGCCCAGGGACGCACTTGTTCTTGAGGACCGTGATCTCCAAGTACAGGATCGAGGGGGTGAAGCAGCCAACAGCGATGGTGAACACGAACCACTGCAGGATGGACAGAACGCACTGGAAGAGGCACAAGACCAGAGGGAACCAGGTGAAGAATGCGAAGCGGAACACGTGCCTCTCATGGAGCCTGCGCACCCGGAGCATGACGATGTGGAGGTAGAGGGACCCTGTGCAGCTGCGGCAGACGCAAAAGTCCGAGGGGTTGAAAAGAACACCCTAAACTTCAAACCCTTAACTCTAAACCCTAAACCCTGCGCGATAAGCCCCCCCCCCCCCATGACAGGAACTCCTTGGACTGGACCTGCCAAGACCCCAAAGAATGTAATCCCCTCCCCCTAATATTAAAACACAACCCTTAAAGTTGTATATAGGGGTTATCATTATTTTTATTAGGGTTTAGGGTTCAGGCCTCCCATCCCCCCTTAATATTAAATACTCCCATTATGTGGTATATTACAGTATATTGGGAGTATTTAATATTACGAGGGTGGGGGGCGGTTTTAATATTAGGGGGAAAGGATTAGTAGCGATCCTGGGGGAAGGGGCTTAACATTTCAGGAGACGGAGAAGTGGCAGGAGTTTGTCGATGGTGCTGCGCCCCCGGATCTCGCTGGATTGCGTGCCTGTATTTCAGGTGAGTACTGTAAGTAGAACGGCGCTCCCGATTTCACATACTTTGCTTTGCGATGGTAACGTTGTTTAACCTTCCAACGAGCCAGTATTCAACGCGTTGGACAGGCTAACACGTGAAGAGTGTTACAACTGACTGTGCAGCAAATGCTGCATCCGCTACCACGACCACAACCAACAAGAATGTTAATGCTTCCTCTGCTCCATCTTTGTTCTTACTACTACCACCATCTGTGTTGCTAAGCAATTCGCGTTTGCACCTCACGCTGGCTGCCTAAGCAAACATAGTACAGATTCAACATGTAGGGTCTAGGGTTAGACTAGTTAAGGGCTTGATGTCTAGGTGGGATGTTGCCAACAAGAGAAAGTGGATGCGAGGGGATCATAAAGAGGTGGCTTCGCATTGTGGATCTCTGTTTTTAGAAGTCGCTTTCTGGTGTGTTTCCCCTTGACCCACGCTTGGCCGACAGGTAGAGGTGAATTACTGCCCAAATACTCGCAGTAGCATGAGCATTGAAATCAGCATTCCAGTGCAGTTCTTCTTGTCAGAACTAGATCTTCTATGTCTAGTGTCATCACGCTACTCCTCATTGTCTTGTCGTCATTTCTACTCTGCCTTCTGGGTAGCCCATGGAACCCCGCGTATAGTCCCCACTTTTAAACGGAACCTTAACCTTCTATGTACACCTTCTCAGGTCCCATAAATCCCACGTTTGTTTGCAGCGCTACCCCATAAACTCCTTTGACTAGTTTAGCTTAGTAGTTTCCATTTTTTCCTATCCCTGCTCCACTGACTAAGCCCCCCAAGCTTTTCTACTGAGTGTTCTTGTGATGAGGCCTGGCAGCTGGCC